ACAATACAGTAAGGTGTGGTAAATGGATTAATCGCAAAGATTGGGAGGTCATTAAGATTGTATACTAAAGATTAGATTTAAAAACAATTATAGATCTTTTTTTTTTCAGCAAATCCATTTACTACAATACTAACAGTACTAAGGAGACACTGTGCTATTATACCGAGGTGTCAAAATTAGAGTTTATAGGAATTGCCATGATCTCGTTACCTTCTTGTGCAAGAGACAATGGTTTAATGAAGGAACTTGACCGTAGTTCACATGCCAAGTTAATAACATCAGAATGATTAACAGCTGTGTTTTCCAATAGAAGTGTTAATACTTTTCTTAATGCACACCTTTCTAAATAAACCTAACTTAGTTTAACATTTTCTATGTTAAAATGCCTATTCCTATTCGTGCCTATTCGTAATAAAAACCAGATGATTATAAACAACTGTGAAGAATATTCTTAATCACTGATATTTTACGAATATAACTCTTCTCATTAAAAAAAATTGTACATATGAAATCTATACACAGTAAATATTTAATATTTTCTTAGTTCTTCCTATTTTCCACATTTTCTTAATAACAAGAACTAATAACAATAAAACTAAATTAAAAAAAAAATCAATTAATTAAAAAAACTTTTCAAGCGGTTCAATCTTCTCAGGAGATCCATAAATTACGTTTTCAGCGATCGAAGCAAATCACTTCATCTTTTTCAATAAATACACGAAATAATAGAAACATGTGTTTAAATTGATTCAATTAACAATATTGTTAATACATATAAACGCAAATGTATTTATTTACAAAATAAAAATAATAAAATTGATGCAAAAAGTAAAACATTTTGAAAACAAAATTAACCAAATTCAAAAATAAATAAACTTGAAAACTCATCGATTGCAGAAAACGATCGATTTATATATTGTTGCTGGATCCATAAAAAGTTGCTGGATTAAAAGTAATCGTTCGGAGTATCTGTCGAGAAAGATAAGTGCTTCCAATTGTGCGGTAATAAATAGTTGAAAACGACTACTTTATATACTACTTCAAAATTATATAAACAAAAGTTATTTTTTATATATGATTTTACCTTTAGTTAGCACAGTAGTGTATATTTTACTTAATAGAAATTTTTATAGGGAGGTTTCAAACAGTACCAAATTGAAACAACAAAAATTTTTATTTTTTTAATTAAGGTAATTTTTATCTGACCATATACAGTTGTTTCGAGTATAGCCAAATATCTATCATCAACAGTCTTTAGAAATATTTCTTATGTTTAATTATTCGTAAATTTTTCGGAACCCCTGGTACTTTCAGTTCCAAAAAATCTCTAAAAGATTATTTTTGTTTTCAGACGACTGAAGCTGCGATGGTAAAACTATCTTATTGTAGATGTTCGAAAAACGGGGATGCAAAACTAAAGAAACAAACCATTTGTTAGTTATGAATAGAGGAAGATGTTTGATAAAGTTATAGCTCACCCTAAGTTATAAAACTGATGATGATGATAAATCTTTTTATTTAATTAATTTAAATTAATCTTTATTGTGATTTTTTTGCATATTGATATGACAAATAAGAAACTTGTCTGCAATATGGTAACTAATAAGCGGATTTTTAGGACATAAGAAACGATGGAATACCAGAACTTTGGAATACTGAGATTATCATTCCTAAAACCAAACGTCGATAACTTAAAGATGTCATTATAAATATAAATTTATTAAAATAATTATTTTTATTTGCTTATTAGACTTTCACATTTTTTAAACTATTTCAACATTATTTTCATGTCTGGTTATAAATTTCTCTACAATATTATTTATTTTTAAATGCTTTAAATTTTTAAAATAATTTTTTAAATTATTTTTGGAGCTTTCATAAAATTATTTTATAAAAATTTATATTTTAAGCTAAACCAAAAAATCTTTGTATTATTTATAAGAACATTTCATAATTTTATTTTGTTTAATTTTTATAACAATTTTGAAGAAATTATAAAAATAACTAATAAATAGGTAAAAAAAAAAATACTTGGGGTCAGACAATTATATGACGAAACATCACGTCAATTTTGCATTGTTTCTGGTCATGACTATGAAAGCATGTTCTGCAGGCAGTCAATTTACAATTTCACAATTTCGAAACAAAAATTTTACTATTTTAATACATTGTATATAATAATTTTTTTATGCATATTTACACAAAAATATTTGCTCCTAAATTTGTTTAGATTAGATTTTTAAAGGGTTGGGAACTTGTCATCACGTCACTACATCCTTTGAGGATTATTGTGACAAACACACTTTAGTTCCATAGACGAGTAGCAGTTTAAAATGACATTATGTTCTTTAGAGAGATGTTGTCTAATTTCGTTTTAAGTGAATGGGCAGTGGATAAGTACCGAAGCCTGAGTCTGGCGAGACTATCACAGTGATACATAATGTGTTCTGCTATTTCCTCTTCTTCATGACAAAGTATTTTTGCTTCTAAGTTAAGCATATTCTGATATTTTTAATTAGAGACACAGAAAGGCTCATCGTCGTGTCTAAAGTTTAATAGAAGTTTCTCTTTTACTTTCATTGTTTAATTTTAATTTTCCATTAAACACACAACAATACTACATTTGCTGGGACCATGAGTGTCTGCATAACTTATCCCTTAGCATAAAAAATACATTTTACAATACTTTGATATTATAAACCTTTAGATTAATTTAATTATATTAATTAAGTACATTTATTTTTAGTTTATGACAGTTTTTTAATTAACTTTTGCTTATTTGTTTTTATCATTTTATGTACCAAAAAGACGAGATTTATTTATTTATACTTTTAAATTAAACGCGATTTTTTTTTTTAATTTTAAACTTATGATTTATAGAACATTCAAATTTTTTTTTTATTTTGCTATACGCAAAAGTTCTATTATTACGCCAGAGCTCAAGAAATCAATTAATTACTTAGTCAGGACTTTATGTTTTACGTACGAAAAAAAATAAGTAAAAATGTTTACTTAAAAAAAAAAACATAATAATTAAATTTTCGACAGTGGCACGTGTTAAAAATTTTATTTTTGTAAAATTTTATTTATATTTATTTTTAACAAAATTTATTGATTTAAATCTTATTCGAAGTGATAACAAATTAAAGAATGAAATAAAAAAGAAAATAATCTTTAAAGCAGCCAAGTTTTAAAATTTTAATAATTTATTTACTTTTTTATTTTTAAATTTATATGTTTTTATTTTGAGTTTCTTGGGTCTACGCCAATTTTTCAAAAATTTAATATAGAAATTCATAATAAGTGGAAATATTTGTTTTATATATGAAAATTATTTCTCTAAGCAAAATAGGATATAAATTTTAATGTATTCCGTTTAGGACCATATTTTCCATAATAAAAACACTCGTAAAAGGAAAATATAAGCGAGGTGTTGATGATGTCTCTATAGTTGTTGAGGACTTTCGCTAGTTGCATAAAGTCACCTTTCCGATAAAACCTGCAAACATTACAGATGCATATTCGTAAATCATAGTACGTTTTGGATGACTTCACGTGATGGATGCCAAATAATGTTTACGATCTAAACTTAAATTTTTATAAGCTGTTGGCACTAATAATTCATCATCTAGCGAGAGCTAGATGACTTGAATTCTTAGATTTAATAGATTTAAGTTAATCTCTAGCAGATACGTTACTTTAAGAATTTCTTCTCCAGTTTCCATCATAAAATATATATTGGAACCTATAAATCTGTTACTTATGACTTGTTTCTGATAGTATAACTTATTTCCAAATATATTTATACTTTCATCAAATTAAAACAAACTTAAATAGTTTTATTAATTATTTAACTAATAAATCAACAATTATTTTTTATTTAATTTATCCATTTTTTAAAAAATTGAATATTAGTTGTTAAAAGTGCGTTTACAATCTTGAAACTTTTTTCTTGATAGATATATAGATATATTCTCTCACAATAAATTCAACAAAAACATTAAGACTTGGCTAGAAAATTTGGATAACCATAAAATCTGTTTGAGCAGCCTTGGCTACTTGTGGGAAAACACGATTAATCATTGCTTCTAATTTGACAGGCAGAAGTTCTAAGCCTGGCACTTGCAGTCCAAACAAACTATATACGGACTATAAATTAATTAAAAAGAAATTTGAGTATTTCCTAAGATCACTGACGATGAGTACTTGACAATACTCGAAACCGCATTGTATGGTCACCCAAATTTTAATAAATTAACTAAAATTTTTGTTGTTGCCTTTTTATTTCTATACGAATCCTTCTAACTTTTAAATAGTTTTTTTTCGTCATAAGACATTTCACTCTCGGCAAAAAATAATTAACATTATAAAATCTTTTTTTTAATATAATAATTAAAACTAGATAATTAGTGAAATGAAACTCTTAGAAAATGTTTAACACTTTTTCAGGAGATCAAATTCGAAATAATGCTATTAGTTAGCTTTATTTGATACATAACGGAACTTTTAAATTCAATTCATATTATTATTAACTAAAATTAAAAAACTAATATTTAGTACAGTTCTCTTTCCAGTTAAAAAGAATATAACAAAAGATTTTCCTGTTTATTTTTCTTACTATTCCTTTCATATGTAGTGTGAAAAGCGTAAACACAGTTTATCAAGATACTTCTTAAGTACACTGAAGAAAAAGAAAAGCAGACATTCTTCACTACATAATGTAAGATACCTTTATAAATATGATTACTTTTGTAGGATGAGATGAATATACCGAGCTAAAAAAAATCTACCGAGACACCTAAAGTCTATTTGAATCTCTGTCTGTATATTTTCATTTTAACGCTATTAATCTTTCACTTTTTGATTCATGATTAATAACTTTTCGTATAACCTATGACGATTAAGTCAGATACACTCTATATATGATTATTTATTTTAGTTTAAATAAAATAAAAGTGTATAAAAAAAAATTTTAATACAAATTTAATGTTTTAACTTACCAGTTTGTTTGGGTATATTATCAAAGCCTAGGCTTTTGATTTCAGATGTTTCGACATGAGGTGCAAATCCTTCATACAAATCACTTTCCTCCTCAATGCCACTCAATTTATCGGCTTGTGCCGATGTGTCTGCACGATTGTAGGGCATTTTTAAAGTCGTCTATATTCAAGAGTATCGAAATCTTTAAAATTTTCGTGGCAAATTTGGTTTCCTTTCTACCCGTTTTTTATCCGTTGCTTTAAATAAAGCGAAGCTTATAAAATCTTTACTTCAGTATTTTAAATTTATATTCTTTGGTATAACTCTTTAATATGAGCGTGAAACTAATATATACGTACTTTCATATATAATTTATATAGATTAAATGTGTTCAAGAGATTTGAACGTTTTGCTTTAATTGGCTTAAATTTTTCCACAAAATATATTTAATTTCCTCTTCTGGCAGTTAACAAGAGAAGAACAGACCGCAAAATTTGTGCTCGTTGAATGTGACTAGATTTTTATTTTATACAATTTTGAATAAGTTTTTCAAATTCTTTATCGATTTATGGAGACAAAAATACTCCAATGCGATGATGACGTGCTGAATTCATTATTACTTTGATTAAAAAAATTATGTTAAATCCTCAAAAAGCATAATTACTGATGCAACTTCACAATCTTCGTAATCTAAAAGTAAAAAAAAAAACAAAAAAATTAGATTTATTTATATTGACATTTATTTAATAAATAAAAGATAGTAGATAGAAAAAGTGATATATCTGTGTAGATATACGTTTAATAGTTACAAATCAATCAAGTCAACTGATTAAAAATCACACAATTTAAATTTAAATTCAAATATTTAAAACATCTACGCCTAGATGTCGTAGATGTATTTATATCATATATAATATATCGAATTCGCTATAACCACGAATCAGAGAACTCAAGGAAAAAGTAAAATATAATAAGATGCATAAAATCAATGACTAAGATGACTAGAACACGTTCAGCGTATAAACTGAGTACAATCAAAAGTTAATATAATCCAAATATAGTTGTAATTGAGATATCGAAAATAATTTTACGTTACTTTACTGCTGGGATTTTGCCATATGTAAAATCCATCAAATTTCATCCACGGTCCGTTTTACAATACTGGATCATTTTAATGCTATTTTCAATGACTTATTGACATTAAGCTGCCTATAGATCAAAAAGTTTGAGGATGACGTTTCAAAACCCACATCTTTTATATCAAACCACAAAAAAAAATTTGATAATTATGTGAGTGTAAAGAGTAGATAGAGGCTTACGATAAATGAGAACGTCTTGAGTCCTACATCACTGTTGACAATTATAAGTTCAAAGTCGTAAAAGATTTTGTTTATTTAGGAACCAGAGTACACCACAAATGATGTCAGCCTAGAGATTTAAGGAAGAATTATTCTTGCCAACAAATGTCACTTCGGGCTTAGTAGACAATTGAGAAATAAAGCCCTCTCTCGATAAACAAAAATCACGCTCTACAAGTCTCTTATCATGTCTATCTTACTGTATGGTGCAGAAGTTTGGTCAATTACCAACCGTGATGAGAAGGTGTTAAGAGCATTGGAGAGAAAAATTCTTCGGAAGATTTCTATGTTCCATTACGTATTGGAAACGGATATCGAATTAATTGGAACGATGAGTTGTATGAACCATTTTGCGACACTGACATGTTAAGCATATAAAAATTTAGCAGCTAAAAAGGTATTTTATTCGGTAACCGCTGGTGGAAAACGCAATAGCGGACGTCCACACGTTTAGTAGAAGGACTAGATGACCAACAATTTTGGACAGCTCGGTACTACCAACTGGCAGCAGCAGACCACGGAAGCTACTGGACGCAGTCAAGGGCGACTAACGTCTGTAGTGTTCAACTAATTAAATAAGAAAAAATAATTCATAATTTGTGTCACAACTTCATCATAAACTATGAGCCTATCACATCCCTTAACCAAATGCTACACCATATATTGATTCGTGACACACGAAGTCAGGTATACCAATTTTAGGTTATTTAAATTTAGAGTTATATTAGTTTTCGTTAGATTTTCATTAGCAACAATTAGATATGCTGTGCTATTTTTAGAACTATGCATAAACAACAGCTATATATATTTAATTAATTATTGTAAATTGTTGTCTAATAGAATTTTTTGTGGAAAGCATTTCTGCATACTTGATTGAAGTCACTTGCAATCTCCGAAGAATTAGAATAATTTTATATTCTTTCGAATTTTATAGTCGCTTAAGTGAAACGGGGACAGTAAGAAGTTAGTTAATTAAAATATCTTAATTTAATTTCTAATTAAAACATTTTATGTTCTCTGGCAGAAATCATTTTTCGTGAAAGTAGAAGATTTCTTTTCATCAGACATAAAAAATCAAATTATAAGTAAAAGAAAAATAATAATATGACTTGAGTAAATCCGAAACATAAAAATAATTTTTATTTCTTTGAATTTTTTAAGGTTGAGTCAAATTAATATAATTAAGGTTTGCCTCAGAGCCTTAGTAGCCTTAGTAACCTTTAGTTAGGATACTGCTTCAGAAATGAAATCGAACTGTTTATTTAGGCAGTTTTTCTTATTAAAATGGGGACCTGAAAACATAACAAAAAGGCAATAATATATCACATGCAAATGTTATTGGGTGTGACAATCAACACGATTATTAAAAAAAAAAATTTTTTAAATGAAAAGAAAAAAATATTAGAAAAAAAAGTTTTTGGTATTTGGAAAATTTATTGATGTTTTTCATTAAAATTATTCTTCATCGGTAATAGTAAATAAAATTGTTATTTCTACTTAAATTGCTTAAAGCTCCCACAAAGCCATGCCATTAAATTAATATTTATATGGACTATAAAGAAAGATTAATGCGATTTATTAACAATTCAGTTTGATTTTAAAAACAACAAATAAAATGGCAAAAATACTTAAATAAATGGAAAATAACAAACAGAAACAACAAATTTTCTTCGCACTCCTCACAAATCAAAGCATTTATTGAAAAATGAAAAATCAACTTCGATAATAAAAACAAACAAAATGTAAAAGTTTTTAATTTTAAATTTTATTTTTTGAATTTTGAAATTTTAAATTTCAAATCTGAAATTTCTCATTTCCCAAAATGTTATAAAAAAAATTTTTTTTTTTATTAATAATAAAAATAAACCATAAAGCGAAATTGTTGTTGCAAAACTTATGGCAGAAGAATTTCGCCTTGGCCAAAATAATTTTAGGGAATTAAAAAATCAGCAGCCAACAGAACAGGCGGCAGCAGGCAGCGTTTTTATTAAAAATTAATAATTCAAAAAAAAATTAAAAAAAAAAGAAAACAATAAAAAATTATTCCACTCACAAATATTTCTTAATAACTTTTCAGTAATTAAATTGAAAATAGATTTAATGTTCTAATTTCGCAGTTCAGAATGTTTTAGTGCTCACGAATGTTTGAAATCGTTTAAATAAATTTAACTTGGATAAAAATATAAATTACACAATATTTTATATATATGCTTCTCATATACTTATATAATCACAAAAAAAAATTCAGAGCAAACACAATACATATTATATAAACAGATGTCATCCATGTTCTACAAAAATTCTTTGGAAATATACTTACAGCTTCTTCAAGTACCACTAATTTTTTATTTAAAAAAAAAAAATAATTTAATAATTTATTAATAATTATTCTTATTATAAAGAGAGGATATAGCCTTATGAGCTTATAATCTATTCTTAAAATTCTACTTGGATCTAGAGTGACGCACAAAGTCCTATCTCTTAAATATATGGTAAAATTCGCCCAACACTCAGAAAAATATGCTCTAACCATATAAAGAGAGAGGATAAAGCCCCACAAGATTAAGATCTATTCTTAACATCCCACTTGAACCTAGAGTGACGCACTAAGTCCTATCTCTTAAATATATGGTAATATTCGCTCAACACTCAGAAAAATATGCTCTAACTATATAAAGAAGGTATATAGCCTCACGAGCTTAAAATCTATTCTCAAAATCCTACTTGGATCTAGAGTGACGCACAAGGTCCTATCTCTTAATTATATGGTAATATTCGCCCAACACTCAGAAAAATATGCTCTAACCATATAAAGAGCGAGAATAGAGCCTCACGAGTTTAAGATCTATTCCTAAGATCCCACTTGCACCTAGAGTGATGCACTAAATCCTATCTCTTAAATATATGGTAATATTCGTCCAACAAAAATATGCTGTAACCACGTACTAGTTTAATTGAACTGATCATTTTGTTAGAAAAATTTTTTTGCTCATGTTTACCACATGAAGATATGAAAACCAACATATGATATAGCTTAACCAACCGAGTAAGAATATTTTAATCTGAGGTTTAGCTTAAATTTAGTTAGTTAGAACAACCAAATTATTTTTCTGACTTCACTCTTTGAAATTTTAGTTTAACAATAGATGATTCAACATAGACCTTTTCACATTTATGCAATAGTGCAGAATAGCTCCCCAGCACGTGCTTAACTGTCTCTTTCCCTTCTTTTTTGGAAAACCTGCAATTCCATTAAAGACAATTTTCAGTTTATTTAGAAGACAGATTATCCAGTGGCTTAAATCTAAACATATGCAGGTAACATATGACTTTAATATAGATTAGGGGCTTGATTTGACGATTAAATACTGTTATTTCACACTTAACGTTTTTTATTAATCATGGGAATGTTATAATAAAAATAAACTAGGTCTCAGCTGATGACCTATTCAAACTATTATCTGTAATATTTTTATTAAAGATATGAAGCAATAGAAAACATTTTTAAAAAAATTGAATATACATATTTTGAAATGAACTACATCACGGCTGTCCAAAGTAGATAAGATCGCGGGTCAACACAAATTGCTGGATAGGTGCAATTCCGAAGAAAAATAAAAATACGACAATATTGATAAATTTAATTTTTTTTTTCATTAATTTATATTTTAGAATTTTATTAATATCACTATTATTAATATTAGTTCTTCCCATACGAAAAATATTTTATTATTAATGTAATGACCTACGAGACTGGATATGAAATGTACAGAGTAAAATATACTAAAAAAAAAAGTCTTTGTCTTTTAAATACATTAACGTAAAGTATTATAAATTATTTTAAACATTTTAATTAATTTATTTGGAATACCATAAAAATAAAATAATATAATGTTACCAAAATATAACTAATCAAAAATTTCCCTAATTGTGGTAGATTAGAAATATATCGCGGGCTGCACAAATATTAAATGCGGGCCGCATGAGGCCTGTGGCCCATGCTTTGGACAGTCCTGATCTACATTATAAAAATATTTCGGGTTAATCCGTTAAGCATAATCTGGTCTAGTGTTTGATTGTCTTAATAATAGTATTATTTGATCACTATATGACTAAGTTTTATATTTGATGCTTTGTATTAAAAAATGTTCAGCAAAAAAATATTTTACAATAAAAATGTATTTGAATATAATTATTGTTTTATTTTTTTAATTTATTATTTATTTTATTAAAAATAATTTACACATTTCCACACTCAACGACATGTGCTTCGGTTCGGAGCTATGCAATTTGAAAGCATTTGAAATATTCATTCGCAGCAACAAATGACATACAGACAAACACAATCCAATTTCAAATAAAAATATTAAATAATGTATTATTAAGTCGCTTATCTTAGTATGTGAGTGTATACATATATTAACAAATTAATAATTAAGACAAGTTTTTATAACGTTTTAAATTTATTTGCAGCCAGTTTGCATCTTTGTTTTTATTTTAAAAACACAATTATTAGTTAAGTTGCTCAGAATGGCACCAAAATCAGTTATAAAGTCAATTTTATGGATGGAATTAAGTGTAAATAGCCGTAGAAATAATCCGTACCTACGTCATATTAAAGTATTTCGAACTGAAACCACACATATCTTAACTATGCGAACGTATAGAATATACCATATAAAATATAGAATTCCGTAATTCCGTATGCCATGTTCAGATTCTGAACGCATTGTAATGGGAGTTCACTAAACCCGGATATCCGCGTGTGCGTTTGGGGCCCATACATGAGTTTCTTCTGACAGTCATAAATAAACGAAATTGACTTTTAAATTCTTTAGAAACTCTGAATGCAATTCAATTTCCTATTTGTGTTATATTTCAGTTCAAACGTTTTTATTCAAATCACTTTACATTCAAACTGGTTGTTGCACATTTGATTGATGCGTTCAACTTTCTCAGACAAAGTTTATGATAGTCCAAAGTCCAAAGGAGCAATTCGTATGGAGCATTTTTGAATTTACATGAGCTTCATTTATTATTCCAGACCACGTACAATAGCAGTGTCTATAAAAAGATACTAAAAAGATACCAAGTAGAATATATTCAGTTTTGCATAAAGTTCAAAACTGTAAAAAGATGAAGATGAAGATGAAGTACATCAAACTGTGACAATACCATCGGTAGGAAAAGCCAGAGAAGAATAATATGATATTCATAGTACAATATAGATGATTATGCAAGATTGTGGGAGCATATTTCATACTCGTATAAATACTAAATAACTTTCAAAGCAGAGCTACTTTGTTATAGCTTTCATTCCTTTATGGTAATTTATAAAATAAAATAGCATTTATCTTGAATATATATTTTTTTTCTTAAAAAATTAATAAATCAAGATAAAAGTTCTAATAAACTACGTCATCGTACTAATTTAATAAATATTTCATACACAATAATTATTAGAACATAATGTTCCTTTTTTAATACATCGGAAGCGATCACATTTAAGTCTATTATATTTACTATTCCAGAACATTCATTTTTGAACGTAACAAACAGGTGAGTACTGCTTTTCATGCTGAAAAAAAGGGCTATTAATTTCTAGGCAATTTGGCAAAAATTTGAAAACCCATATAATTCAGTACACCGAAGTTTTATTGTGGAAATTTCTGAGGAAAAAATATATATCAAGTAAATGACGTTGCCACTAGCGTGGCACTCCATTTATCTAAAGACCTGATTTCTACTTGCAACTACAAAAAAACTTTCTTATACAGTTGAACAATGGATTGTCGCTGCCGAATTCTCTGACGGATCATCTAAGCCTGTGTGACTATTTTAATGAGATTGATATATCTGGTATGACAGAAGAACGCGTCTTTTTTTCTAGGGAGACTTTTAATCAAATTGTGCTGTGACGAAACCGCTGTGACGTGAGTTAGATACAGAATAATGCAACGCGAGACTAATATATCCTACTGAAATTAAAAATTTCTCAACGTAAGACATGAAGACCTTCATTCTAAAAATTGAGTGATTTAGTTTCAGTAAGAATCAGATGCTATAGTGGACTTCAATACAATAACAAAATACATAATAAAAGCGGTTTCAATTTATTTTAGAAATAAAAATTGTTATTTTGCAGAGATATTTCTTAATGAAATAAACTATAAAACAACAGTTTGCAACAAAATCTGTTTTACAAAGTTGGTATAATTTTATATTATATACATAACATTTTAACAACCGCTGAAAATATTTTCTAAAGAATACGACAAAAATGATTTATTATACAATACATTAAAGCAAATAGGGATAATTATATAGTATAATTATAGTGATGCAATGATTTAAATTTATAATTCTCATGAACTTAGATTGATTAGGTCTATTAATACTATATTAGATATTAAAAATTATTATTATTTTGAATAATTTTAATAGATTATAATGTTAAATGCGTAATTCTTTAATATGTATGGTAACATTGAGTACTTTGTAGCAAATATATTAAATGTTTAAGAAGGTTTATATTATATACATAAAATTTTAATAACCGCTGAAATTATTTTCTAAAGAATAGGACAAAAATAATTTATTATACGATACATTAAAGCAAATATGGATAATTATATTGTATAATTATAGTGATGGAATGATTTAAATTTATAATTCTCATTAACTTAGATTGATTAGGTCTATTAATACTATATTAGATATTAAGCAATTTTAAATAATTTTAATAGGTTATAATGTTAAATGCGTGATTCCTTAAAATGTATGGTAACATTGAGTACTTTGTAGCAAATATATTAAATGTTTAAGAATGTTTATATTATATACATAAAATTTTAATAACCCCTCAAATTGTTTTCTAAAGAATAGGACAAAAATAATTTATTATACGATACATTAAAGCAAATATGGATAATTATTTTGTATAATTATAGTGATGCAATGATTTAAATTTATAATTCTCATTAACTTACATTGAAAAGGTCTATTAATACTATATTAAATATTAAGCAATTTCGAATTATTTTAATAGGTTATAATGTTGACTGCGTAACAGTCCTGAATATGTACGGTAATATAAAGCATCTTTTACGAACTATATTAAATGTTTATGAATGTTTATCGAGAACGGCGATACCCTTTTAAATCTTAATTTTCAAATTACAATCATTTTACTATCCAAAATTTAAATTGACGATGCATGATAAAAATTTTAAGAATTTAAAGACCATTTATAAATGGGTCTAAATATGTTTAAGAGCGGATATACTAATATTGGCACATGTGTATAATTCAGATTATAGATGGACTTACAATATAAGCCACCTATGGGGCCAGGTATAGTTTTCGTATATGCATTAATTGCATTTTTTTTTATTGTATATTCAAAATACTAGTCCTCGCTCAACTTGAGTGAAATGTTTATATCACACTTTAAAAATGTAAGGAAAACAAATATATTAATTGTATATTATAAAATATATATATTCAATAAATATATGAAAAGAAATGAATAATAAAAAAGGCGATGGATATGAAAATTGTACTAAAAAACATTTTCAATCTTAAGGAAATAATAGCTATATCTTGATGTCAGTATCCACGAAAAGAGTAACTGATATTCCAACCATTAAATTATTCAACTTGCACCATTCTGTATTCTGACGAGAGGGCATATAGTTAACCAACCCAGATACTGGGAAGACCCTCAATTTAAAAATAACTATATGAACTGTTAAGACCGAAAACAGGCTTAGAACTCATCAACATATCTTAGGTAGTCTCTAATGAACTTCTTATACTAAGCAGAGAGAAAGACATCAAAATTCTCTGCAGATTTCTGACAGAACATTGTTGGTTAAGGTAGTATTCAATGAAATTAGGATGTCAGAGATTAATATTTCCTGATTTACCGATACGGATCTTAGCGCATTCTCTGTGAACGTTCTTAACTAAGCAGCAGTAGACTTGTTCAGCTGGCGGAAAAGACTCGTTACACCTTACAACTTCAATATAAATGCTAAAGTTCATTAAAAACTTAACTTAATTAAAACAACTGCAGTTAGTTACTAGTTAGATCACTTACATCCTGATAACTAGTATTTCTAAATATGAAATACATATTAAAAACAAATAATATATATTTCCAGCCAATATAATGCAACTGATGTATCTATTATTTTTTCATATGCTCATAAAAGTTAATAGATTTTATTATATACTATAAAATGAATATAAAATGCATAAATTTTACTCTTTTTAAAGCCGAAATAAAGTAAAATTGCGGAGGTTGTTACGCCATAAACTATCCAAGAATAAAAAATCCTTCACACAAAAAACATATGCGAATGGCTCAAAGGAAAAGGGTTGAGTTTTTTCCTTCAGGCGAACTGAATAAAAATATAAATCCTTTTATGTCGATGAAAGCAATAAAAATTATTTTATTTCCATTTTCAAAATTTATTGAAGGGTTCTTTTTGCAGTGCATATTAAGTAATTTTATTTTATTATAAATTATTTTATTTGCATAATTTTCTTTATTGAGTTTTATTTTTGTGTTCAGTAAATACATAAGTCAGAATAATGAAAAATTTTTTAATACATTGTCCTTATGTTATTATTTTTATTTAATAAAAATTATTTTAAAAAAATTACACATACTTTATGTTTCCACGGTATATCTTTATTTATTGTTTTCTCTGGAATCTGAAAATTAAATAAAAAAATAATTTTAATAACGCATTTATATTTATTTTAAAATATTAATATAATTGTTTAAAAAAAATTCCTTTATATTTTTTTTAAAATATTAATATAATTGTTTAAATAAAATTCCTTTATAACCGATGAGAATTTTTTAAAGCGGTCATTTTATGACTTATTATGAATATAAAAAGACTCGAAACAAAGCGAAAAAAAGTGACTAAATTTAAAAAAAAAATACTTTCACAAAATAAAAAAAATTAACGCTTACAAAAATTTTCCGACAAAAATTTATTTTATGAATATTAGTAGATAAATTCTAAAAATTAAAAAAAAAATTATAAAATAAGAAAAAATATTTTAAACATAGAAGGATGATACAACCACATCTCCTTGATAGTTTCTTCTAACATTGTTAATATCTCCAGTTGCAATATCAGAGAAAAAGGATAGCATTTCTCTGTAATATCAAAGAAATAGACTAAGTGGATCCCTAAAGGCAATATTATGCAGAATGTCATGAGCACTTCAAAATTGACTCTTTCAGGCTATGACGAAAATGTCAAAATTTTTACTATTACTTTTCTACGTTTTGGTTGTGCCTAAACTTTAAAAAAATATATACATACATACAACACGGCTTTGACTCTAAGCTTGAGTTTAACCGAATTTAAACCGACATTTATTTGTTTCTCTTACTCTCAGTTTTTTAGCATTAGCATTTAAAGCAACAACTATTCTAATTTTGACGTGGCCATGAGAGTCTATATAACATGGGTTCAAGTTATCCTTCTATTATAAATGTCTATATATAACATCATTGTCGCACTGTAGTCCAGTGTTATTTTTATATTTATGACGTTATCACTTTCGCCCTACAAGGCATTGTTTTTTTTATTTAACAAAATGTCTTTATTGAGTCGCTTGAAATTAAAGCCTAACAATAAGTTTTAGAATCTTTAAAACTAATAACATTATATTACAACTTCTTTGATATACCATACATACTACAATGAATTATAAAATAAATTGTAAGTTATTTTAAGGGGTCTCTGAATAAGTAGCCAGGTCTTATTTATATCAAATACCACGACGCATATGTTGAATTAAACAGGATAATCTTTAGAAAAGCAGAATGTCAGGTCTAGCATTCCGTTTTAGTACAGAGCAATATTAGTTTTATTATTACTAAGAAACTCTGCCCACTGTGAGCGTCACTTGTCAGCCCTCGTTGCATTCATGCGTACTCTTTCATATTCAACAATAAAATTCTCTAGAGTGGTGATCAAAGAACTTCAAAACTAGTCATATAAAAATCTAATAACATAAAAAAACTTACTAAGGTAAAAACTGTTCTTTATGGAGTCTACAATAGGTTTGAGGTGAATCCTAAGAATCAGCGTTATAACCTATATAACTTAAGTACTGCAGGTTACTAATATTCTTTATAAGTTCATAAGTTCCAGAGTTGTCTGCCAAAAGTTGAAGTTTTTCACCTTGCATTAAATTGTATTTGTAGTTAGATTTCAAAAACTATTTGAATATTATCTAATAATATTAGACTCTATGTGTATATTTCTAATTGTGATTTATTATCTTATTTACGTTGAAATTTTTTTTTACCTAAAAAATGATTTTGAATGGCGTTTACAAACTACAAAAAATCATTACAACTACAATTCAAAATCTGTATAGTGTAGATATCTAGATTCACAAGATATATTCAATGCAAAGCCATGGCAAGAGCATACAGGAAGCTTCTTCTATCACGGCATAACTGACACTTTCAAAAGTAAACTCAAACAAACTGTATTCGCACATAAGACAAATCTGCAGTGCGGCACAGCACTATTTTAGATAAAATCTATCAGATACAAGTACAATTAAGCACAATTAGTGCAAAATACGAAGGCTGAAAATTGTGTAAAAATATTTTAATTGCTCTTAAAAACTGTAGCTTATATAAAAACAAAAACAGAAACAAAAAAAAACTTTAATTTATTAAAAAATAAAAAAATTTGTAATATATGCAAAAATGAACTTAAATGAAATGCTTAGTTGTTGTAGAGAAGTGCAGTTGAATGAAAACATTAATATAATTAAATAGATACGAGCAAAAAGAATACAAAACAGAGGACGACTTGTTGAGGCTAGCTTAGGTTAAGAATAAATTTATATATAAGTTTATAGATATGTGTATTAAAAAAATTTTGAAATTAAAACGAAACAAAACAACAATTTAAATATGTAAATAAACAAATTAATGCTGTCAGCACTTCAACACCCAAACGGCAAAAATTTTTTGGATTGGTCTACGAACCTCAACAATTTAACAGAAATTCTGTAAATTTTTTTTTTTTTTTTTTTCATTTGCATTCGAGTGTCAGGCTGAGAATGGCGGGCGACAGCCTACAGGGGCGTCTTTATTTGGGTTAAAATTGTTGATTTTGCAGCAAACAGTAGCGAAGAACTGAGCAAATAAACAAAGCAACAAATTGAAATGTTCAGAGTACATAAACATGACAATTGGATTAGTTTGAGGTTAGTTTAAAGTAAACATTTCAGAATAAATTGAAAAATTACTCATACTGCAAACAGTTCATCAAGGCAATTGGCATCGCGGCACAATACAATATAAAAGGGATTAATTTTATCACCGGACGCGACTGCAATCGTCAATGACGACTGCCACGGCGGGCAAAGCAAGTGAAAGGAGCAAACATCATTAAAAGTTTTAATTTGGAAAGGATATATGTCCAATGGATAAACACTAATTACTGTTTTTGTTAACCATGGATACGATTTTAATTACTTGAAAAGAAAGTTGAAAGCTAGAGAACGAAAAACAGATGAAAAGGATTAAATGAGAAGGATAGAAATAAAGATTTACAAGTTAATTGGAAGGGATTTCGTTTTGAAGTTGTGCTAAAAAAAAATTCAGCTACTTTATTAAGAAATAAATTATTCAATTTAAAGCTATAAATAATAGCCGTAATTTTTAGTGAAGGGATATACAGCCAACATACCCCCAAAATGTGGATATATTCCAACCATGAGTCATCTTATAAGCTGCTACAAAAATCCAACCAATGACACCAGCCTTTTCAAAGCCATCAAGAAAAGCGACTTCAAAATATTATAAAGCTAATCCTACCCAAAAATATATTAAATAACATTTAGATATAATTCTTAACAGGGCGAAGGACCTAGCAGTCCAATTCCTTATTCTTAATTAACTTTAAACTTCTTTTTAGTGTTAACTCACAAATAAATAAACACATTTTTAGTAACTTATTGTATTTTTAGTAACTTAGTATAATTACTTACTATTTTAATACTAATAAATTACTAATTTGTAACAATTACACAAAGACAAAACAAATATAGTCTTAAAACTTAGAAAAACATAGGACAAAACATAAACATAGAAAAAAAACATAAACATAGAAAAATATGCACATGGAAAAAACATAAACATAAAGACAACATAAACATAAAATCAACATAAACATAAAAAACATAAGCATAGAAAAATATAAACATAGAAAAAACATAAATATAGTAAAAACATAAACATAGAAAAAACATAAACATAGAAAAAATATAAACATAGAAAAACATAAACATTGAAAATATATAAATATAGAATAAAAAACATAAACATAGAAGAAAAAAACATAAACAGAAGAAAAAAACCAAACTTAAAAAAATATGAATATAGAAAAACGCATAAATATAGAAAAAAAAAAACAAATATAGAAAAAAAAACAAATATAGAAAAAAAAACAAATATAGAAAAAAAAAACAAATATAAAAAAAAATTAAATAAAAATCACATAATTTTTTAAAAACTATCAACGATGTATCTTTCAGCTCTCTCTTATATCTCTCTTATTTTACAAAAATAACTCTGACTTTATAGTAATCATTAAAATAGACAAAATATTTCACATCCTTTGTTATTTCAGAAACAATTTTATTAATTTATAAATTTTAAATTTTTTTTTTATACAATTTCTTTTATTTATTGATTGTAATTACTACATTTGAATTGTAGACTTCCAGGATTAAAAATACATATATACTTGTTCTCAAAATTGATAAGTCTGATCAAAAAATCTATCCTCTGAACAGAACAGCGAAGATTGCAATATAAATAATACAAAACAAAGACAATTTTTATCCCAGAAGAGTGCACTTAAAAGCCAAAGATTGGTAGTTCAATACGAAGTTATAATATATATTTATTTAAGACAACTCTTAATCCAATACGCTTTATATGTGATTTTAAATGAAAACTGAGAGTTGCCATATATTTGAAGCATAGTGAGTGAAAATGAATGTAAATTATTAAATCATTTTTCTTGAAAAATTAAAAAAAATTAGTGTTAATGTGTTAATTTAAATGAGATGCAAATGTGAATCTATACAAACAACAACACTTAATGTCATAACCAAAAGTAGCTTTCAATTTTCAAACAAGTCACACTTGGACTATTAAGTGTCATTGACACATTAAATAAATAACGTTAACGTAAATAAAGTAAATGTTTCAGTATTTCACTTGCTAAGTTAAATTCAATTTAAAAAGTGATTTCATACGAAAACCGCCCACAAAAACTTAAGTACGCTGTACCTATGTAAATACATGAAAGTTTAACAAAATAATAATAATAACCGTACGTATAAGATTTAAGGTAGAATGAAAAAATCAATCGATCAAAATATTTACTTGGGGACTTATGCCACCAACCACTTTTGAGTTTCAAACTCACACAAAAAACTTTACTTATTGCCACCAACAAAGCCAACGCTTCTATCGAATCACTCATTCGGTCATACTGTCAGAAATAGAGTACAGTATCCACACTTTGAAAGTACCTGCAAGTTAGGAAAACCAGAATTTGTAACACCCCTTTAAGCCGTTTCGATAGAAGAACTCCCAGAGCCAACAAGAAAACTCAAACGCAACAAATACAATATATAAAACCAAATGCG